TAAATTCAACCGGCTAAATGATTGAACCCTAGGAGGAGGCATTTTAATATAACATTTCTTTTCGCCACACAGTTGACGCATTTTTTAGTCTGAAGCCTGGTTTAGAACTGGCGGGTCGACATCCTCTCCTATTGCTAGCGAAAATTTTATATAGAACGGCTGCCGAACACAGAAGGTTTGGACAGCCATATTAGGAGGTCCGTTATTGATATTCCAGGGCTAGTCAATACTTTTTATACTAACACAATCGAAACTATCAAGCGCTGAATAAAATTAGCATATTTAAAAAAAAAAATTAATAACTATTAATGTGGATTGATAGTTCACTGTAGTGAATAATTGAAGAGACGATTGGTTAGGGAGTTCATTAAAAAAAAATAATCTGGTGCGCTTAACACACAACTTAACATATCCATGAAATATTTTTCAATTTCACTTCTTCTTTCAGTACAATGAAATAGTATTTTAAATAGTGGCATTGCCTTGATTCCCGAGAATTTTAAATACTTGTTTTTCCAAAAAAAAAAAAAAAAAAAAAAAAATCTGGTACGGAAAACACACAATTTTCACTTACCGCACTACTTTGAATATAAATTATTTTCTGGCAATGTTGGGATATTATAAAATTTTTGAAGTGCATTTTAAAGGGGGCAAACACTTAAAGCTTACAGATTACAAATCATTATATCGACGGTACGCAATAAAAATGTAGTTACGCTATCTGATTTTATAAACCACATAACTTCAGTTTCAGAGCCTTTCAGTTGACAGAATGACTAACTCCGATTTCCACATTTTTGTGTAATGTAATTATAGTGATTGATATTTCTATTTGGAAAAGTGTTATCTATACAGACAGGGAGTAAGTTGATATAGAACTGTCAATAAAGGTATAATTTTGCCACTAGAAAAATCACCAAAATTAATAATAAACAATATTGAAATTGGAGTTAGGCATTCTGTCAACTGAAAGGTTCATATATACCTAGAGAGATTTGAAAGTAAATCTGAATATTTAACCTATAAATGATTATCGATTGTAGGACTATTAGTTATTAAACTGTTATTTTCCATCGTAAAGTTTACTAAAATGAAATTACGAGACTTTCATTGCCTGCCATGGAATAGGTCAAAAATTGTCATAATAATTGTAAGTGTATAATGTTGGAATTTCACAAAGGCAAAATTCATCAAATTATTCGCTAATTTAATTTTCTAAAAGGTTACTTGATGAGTTTTTGTAATAAACGGCTAATAGATACCTAATTATTAAATATAATATCATATCTAGAGTTATTAAACTACAGTAAATTTATTTAAGGTTATAAACATATTCATGAAATATTTTCAGATTTCACTATTTTCACACAAGGACCATGAAATAGTATTTTAAACAGTGGCATTGCCTTGATTCCCGACAATTTTAAATACGTTTTTTTTTCAAGATTAGAAAAAAATTTTAAAGTTTACATTTAGTAAGAAAATTTCATTTAATTTCCTTCGAAACATGTGATTTACGTTAAAAACGTTAGTTTTCTAAAATTATTATTTATATTTTTTTTTCGTCATTCTCCAATACCTTCTACAACTTTATTTATTTGATTATGTATATATTTTTTTTCTTTCCTCTTTTGTTCTTTTTTCTTATTCTTTTGTTATTACTTTATTTATTTATATTTTTGTATATACGGTATGAATGTACTCTCTGAATTCTATTATAAGTGTCCTTAACTGTGACAAATTGTAATATTTCTCAATAAAGTATTTCAAATTTTATTTGATATTATTTTTTCTAAAACTCTTCGCTTTCCAACGACATATTATACGTATACATTCTGACTGTTATTTCCGGTATTTTTCTTTTTTTTTTTTTCTCCAGTTTCCAATTATCATATTCTTTCAAACTTCATATTTAGCTATTTTTTATATTTACTGTCAATAAAAGAGTAAATAAATCTTTTTTTAAAATAAGCCATATTAAAGGTACTTTAGAGGAAGACCTAAATGATGGTAAAGACCACCTAATTATACAATGAAAATCCGAGTTTAATCAAAATCGTTAGAATGTGATTCACCGTTGATAAAAGTAGCACTTTCGGTTTGCCGATTTTAAGGGAAAAGTTGTTGCCACATCTAAGGACATATGCCTATCTTAAATATGTAATATCAGTTACGTACGACTGTTAGTTTTTGAGCCAGACTGTTAACATACACACAGGCCATTTTGCAGGACTTGGTTATTTGGATTCAGGGAACCTCAAAACGTGTATTCCGTTGAAAACACATTGGAAAATGTTCACGATCGCAATATTTTCCCTTATTATATATTATATATATATACATATATATAATATAATATAATATAATATAATATAACATAATATAATATAATATAATATATATATATTAACCTATATATATATATATAGGTAAGTGAAAGTAGAAAAAAGGAAAATAATGTAAATATATTAGTAAAATAAATAAAATAAAATCTTGGTTCATGAAGGCGCGTTGGCTATACCATCCCGTATGACAAACCATCCAATCCATGATTGGACAAATCTTATTTTAAGCCAAGAAGGGAAATGCAATTTACTTTAACCAGAATCAGTAGCAGCGAGGATAAGTAACGGATTCATAATTTAATTTTAGAGGGGGGCTTAATTCTTTTTTTATAATGTAAGAACTCTGGGTGAAAAATAAATAAACTCATGTTTGGGTGTTCCTAGAAAGCTTTTTCATAAAAATAATAAAAATAAATGAATTTTAAAAAAAGTTGTTTTTGTTTGTTTTTTTTTACACATATCCAAACATACACTTGGTTTTTTGTTTCTGATCTTCCATTATTCAAACAAACAATATATACGTGTAAAATATAGAAATACATTTATTCTTACTTGGATTGGGTAATGTTAATACAACGCACGTGGTTTAGCCACGGAGATATTTTATCGAGAAGGTACTTCAAACGGCCGTGGTGAAGCACGGACACGGTGTGTACATGTGTGTCCCAACAAACCTGTATCTACCATAAGGGCCATGTTTGTCGTCAATTGTATCACTTATCAACTAGACTAAGAACAAAATATTGAATTTTTTCAGCAATAATTTATTTTTCTCACTTGATCCTTTATTTGCAAATGCGTTAAAGCGCATACTCCAAATGTATTGTTGTTATCTGTCTATGATGTACTTGAAAATGTGTTATATTTGTCAAGTATGGAAGATTTCACTGTTGATACGGTAATGTCTTTGTGTGAATTGAAATAGGTGTACTTACAATTTTTTGAAGGATTTTGGATTGTGCGGTTTGTATTTTGTTTATGAAGACGTGTTTTGTAGAACCCCAAACTTCTGCTCTGTATGTGCAAATAGGTTTGGGTATATTGGTCTGGATTATTGGCTTATTTCGGAAGTTCTGAGAAATCAAAGATGGCAATTGGTTGTATCATCTGGTCTCTTTTTTCTTTTTGCTTTAATTTGGAGTGTCTATTCCAGGTAAGTCAAGTACGAAGTTTTGAACTGTTAAAGTGATCCTGTAAAACATTTTGATTTCATACATATTTACTTATCGCCACCTTCAATATTAACCATTCCTTTATACCTATAACGCTCCATGCGAATCTTCCATTCTTTGAAATAGTGCTGGAAATCTTCTGTAAGCTCCTTCAGGACGCTTTACATTTTACGAATTCAACGGACTAAACTCCTGTCGGTTTTAATGCAGATAGACGTATCTTTTTTACTCATGATCCTGAAACGAAGCGCCAATCCATGCACTGGAAGAGCACAACTTCATCGAGAGCCAAAAAAGCTCAAATGAGCAAATAAAAAATTGAAAGTAATTATTATTGTTTTTTAAATTTAATTATGATTGTAATTTGTTATTATTGGCTGTGCATCTTCACTGGATTCCTGGAGATCATTCACTTTCACATTCACATCCACTTTCTTGCTAAAAGGGTAAGTGGCAGGCGTTCTGAAGGAGCTGACAGGAAACTTGTAGTTCTAATATTGAATGTGATTAGAAAATATGAATGATCATCATAATCATGTTCCTGTTTACCGCATATACAGTGAGAGGTTGCTTCTTGTAGAGCTTGGACCAGGTGGACCTTTCCAGTGCCAGCTCTCGTCTCCTGTTCCATTCCAAACCTCGCTTCTGGAATGCATCTCGCATGCCTTCTTCTCAGGAGAATCTGGGTCTTCCTCTCGGTCTCCTACCCTGCACGCGAGTCTCATACGTCTTCCTTGCGACTCTGTTCCGATCAATACGGAGAAGGTACCTAAACCATCACAACTTATGTTGATTAAATATGAATGATATCAAAATAAACGGCTCTACACCAAGGGTTTCCAAACTTTTTGGACCACGGGCCAGATTGATACGTCCATGTCTGGGGGGCCGCATTGAGACCTCCACGTAAGTCCCACAGGCCATGGCTAGTGACGAAAACAAATCTTGTTCTATATCAATGATCCTTCAGTTGCGAGATAAGCTTTCTAAGAATACAAAAACATGCTAAAAATGTTGTAGTAATCTCTTGTGTGAATAATTAGCTGAATTTTATTTTAATAGTTTTTAAAATATTAAAAAAACCTTCGCGAACCGGACTAAATGTGCTTGTGGGAAAGGTGCTTGCTTCCGGCCAGCGAGCCGTAGTTTGGAGACCTCTGCTCTACAGCATCAGTCTTGTTATTTAATAGCCATGCCTCGTATAGTCAGAGATAGCGTACATAATGCTTTAAGGGTCTGGGCGGTTACCTATTGTTACAGGTTTCAATGAAGCTGCTTCATCAGTTCATTTTAATTTTTCATTTATTGGTTTGGCATTACTTTTTTTTTTTTTTTTTTTTGGTAAAAGTAATTACATTTACAGCGATATATTATTTCCTTTCCGATCGGCTAACTATAGACGGGATGACTGTAGCGGAGGATGGAATGCGCTGGCAGATGGCCCGTGGATGTTTACCCCGCCACAGTCACTAGTGGCCTAGCCATCCGACCGAGCGCGTCCCATGTCGCCCAACAGCCGCTTAGCCTCCGTCGACGAGCGTCCTGCCTCCAAGTTGTAAGTCATTAATGATATAATATTAAATATTATATTTATCTCAAAGGTAATAGCCAATGCACTGCCGCCATGAAAATAAAATATTATCCTGTTAAATAATTATTTTAATTTTCAACTTCAATTTGGTGTTTTAAGTATAACGTCATAAAAATAAATTTTTATCTAATTTCTAAATTTCAAAGAGACAAAACAAATGCAGAAATTTAATTATAATCATATTGGGTTTTTGTTGTTTTGTTTTTTTATAGTATGTAATAACAGTGGCGGTTCTACGGGGAGGCTTTTGGGCTGAAGCCTCAAAAATGAAAAAAATATTTTTCTTTTTTCATTTGTCCATATTTTTTTATATGAATGATCATCGACTACTAAATGTTAGAACATAGCAAGAAAAATGTGAGAAATTTATATCTGAAAGCCTTATTTGTTCATATTTTATACCTACTTTTTTTTGGCCAAAAAAGACAAAATTTCAGATATATTTTTTTTTGTCATCTTCTAGAGTAATTAAGATTTTTTTTTAAATAAAATTAAAATAAGGACCCTAAAATTAATTGAATCCGCTACTGTGTTATAACAAGTGAAAATACTATCGAGTAAATAGATTAAAAATTAATTGGGGAGCATAAAATTTAATCAAAAAGGAAATAAACGTACATCAACACATTTTTATCTTGCAAACGATAACTTCTCTACTCAATATAACTTACTGTGAAAAGAAAGAACAACTGTAATCTACCCTTAATGTCTTAGTTTTTGTAAACAATTTCCTTACCATACATCCCAGACGATGGCTTACAATAATACTATGAAAGACATAAGTATTTCATAAGATGCCTATATAAGACTTCTAATCTTTACGGAGGATATTTTAATTCCTGAGGTTCAATCAGCCGTCAAGTGGTAAAATCTATTTTTTTTTTATATATTGCAATAGCTAAGGTTTGCGTTTGATTCAATTTTAAAATATTAGTGCGTTAATTAATGATATATTTAATCGAAGTTATAAAGTTAATCTATAAGTTTTTTTTAATAAAAATCCTGTCAGAATTTATTTTAAAAAATTTAATTATTAATAAATATTAAAACTGGTAAAGGAAATGAACTTTTTTTTTATTCTGTCTTCAAATCTACTTAAAAGTACCTTCTTTAACAAAAACAGAATTTTGACGTTAATTGGTTTATCTGAATCGGACAAGTAAATATAGGAATAACGAATTGTACTAAAAATTAATCTCAGTTAAATAAATAAAAAAATTATAAACAAGTGTAAATGAAAAATTCATTCATTAATATGAACATTTTTTTTTTTTAATTCATGCTTATTTTTCCTTTACACTATGCGTATTGAAGTATTCATGATAAATGGGTATTATATAGCAGTATACTGAAATAAATAATGAAAAAATTCAAGGCTGAAAGAATGCTATTACATACTTTTTTTTTTTATGACATCGGTATGATGAAAAATAAATTTCTGAAACTTTTTTTGTCCCTCCAGGAAAATTGAGGTTTGAAAGTTACGTGGTTTCACACTTTCAAACACAGAAGTTATTCTGTAAACACCAAATTTAATTTGAAAAACAAAACCAGTACTTCGTACTTCTGTAAATGCTAAAAGCAGCTTTCCACATACATCACCACCATTGCAATCTCCGGAACTTCACTGGCGTGTTCTTCTTACGAACTAAACGAATTCTGAATATACGTTTTCAAGAAACATCTTTGTGCTCACTTAAGTCAGTTTATCCAAAACAGCATCATGTCCCGGAAAGGTGTCTATACACGGATACCAACAAAAGCTGATACAGGAGTACCGATATCGTGGATTTTATACAGTGTTAAGATAACTATCAGGTTTACTGATTCTTGTTTTGTTTTTGGTATGACAGTGGGTGAATATTTTCAAAACTATACACTTGCTTATATTATTTCATAATCTCCTTATTCTAACATCTTACATTTCTGGATTATAACATTCCAGATAGTGGCAGCCTTAGACATTCGGCATCCCCCAGGCAATCACGTAAAAAAAATTAAATTAATTTCTTTAGCTGTTTTATATGATGTAATATTTGATCTGGAATTATTATTTGTTTATATTAAATGTTTACTTAAAAACACGCATTTTATAATTTTTTTATTTTTTTATTTATTTATTCATGATATTTAAAACTGTATTAAAAAATTAAATACATTAAGTAAATTTGATAACAGAAAATAATAACATGAAATGACTTGTTGAGAAACTACCCACTGGTAGAACTCTAAAAACAAAATGTATTTACAATAAGAGATCTCGAGGCCATCTTCTTTTCAGACGCCTCGGAGGGTTATCAGGAATAGAAGAGGAAGCAAGGTTAGAGACGAGAGGATTCGGATGGTTCTGAAGTTTATTATGGAAGGATTGGTATCTGGATTAGGCCTAATCGGAAACATAAGGAACATTAAGGTCATTATGGATTATTTTATTGGTGACAAAGTAAGGAGCATTGAGGATTTTCCGAAGGATTTTGGATTGTAAGGATTGGATACGAGAGGAATTCGATGGCTTAGTGGAGCCCCAAAGTTCAACTCCGTAAGTCCAAATAGGTCTTATTGTAGTCATGTATATAAGTCTTTTGTAATTAACTGGAAGCTTAGAGCGTTTGTCTAGTAAGTGCTGGAGTAGTCGGAAACGTCGAGCGGTTTCTTGTCGTTTCAGTCTGGTATGAGGATTCCAAGTTAGACGTTTGTCCAAGTGAAGTCCAAGGTATCGGATTTGTTCAACAGGGATAAGTGGGGTATTATTAAAGGATACTGTGGGACATGAGGTCATAGGTTTACGTCCATTTTATAATTGAATAGAAAATTATCTAACACATAAAACTAGGATAAGTTAAAATGAAGCTGAATATTTTTTTTAATTTAATAGTTCTATCATAAATCAGTTTCTATAGTTCAATAATATCGTGTTACTGTAACCTTATTAATAATAAATAAATAAAGACTACAGGATGTCAAATTAATTTTACGAACGAAATACTACTGAAATAAAATAAGAAACAAAAATTATAATCAAATAATAAATTTATATTAACTATATTTCAAGAACTAATTTTTAAAAAACCTAGATATACAAATACTATTTATATGGATAAAAATTATATTTCATTGGGAGACAGCTCGTCGAGACTGCTTAAACTGAGGCCAACATTTTTCACTCGGTTGGCACTGATAATGAACCTATCTTAATCAACACCTCGTTCAACTTCAACCAGTTTGAGGTAAAATACTACTCTTTTCTTAAAATAATATCATACCGGTTTTATTCATTTTTTTCTTCTTCTTCTTTTACTAAGATCGACCAGAATTAATAATTAATGCCTAACAGCAATTGGTTTTAAAAAAATCAAATTTAGTGTTTGACAAAATATGTAGCTGTTGTAAACATAATATACGAAAATGTAAAAACTTTAATATAATTTATTTTATAATGAACTCTGATGAATACAAACTTTAATTTGTTTCATTGATTAAAACAGGGCGTAAATATTTCTTAAATAAAATTTACTACAAGATGTCACACGTTACAAGAAATATTCATAAGCTGTTTTGGAGAACCAGTTAATAAATATGATCTTCTTAATTCCTCTTATGTTCAAGAAGGCTCAGAACAACAATTTTTGTTACGTTAGGGAGGCTTAATTTCGCTTGCCCTTTTTATCTTCTGCAATAAAAGTCAACAGTTGTGTAGCAATAATTCAGACAGTATGTTTTGAAATAAATATCATTTCGTAATATTAACTCGTTTTATTGATTGAATTAAGGTGTTCAAATTAAAACTAATTTTATTTATTTCTCAACTTTCCCTTGGTTTTGAGTTAAATATAATTTTGACAACACTAACATATAACACTGATTATGAATTCATATTAATAGTACCAATCAACGTATTCCCCTCCCCTCTCCCTCCTCCCAGATATACGGGATTTTCCCGGGCCAGGAGGTGAAGGCGGTGGATTAATACCGAAGTTAAAAGTCCTCCTTCCCCTCCCCCGGCACAGGGACGTGAATTCTCAATTATTTTATCACATTTATTTATCTTCCATCAAGATGCCTGACAACACGGTTTTTAGTTAACTAAGCTTAAAATTCCGTTAGAAAACCTCCTCCAAATAGTTACCCTCCAACGTCAGCTTCTTGTGGGCATTGTCCATGTCCCCCCCCCCCTGCTCTAGTTCCGGTTCTGGGTTATGGAGAAACAAACAATTTTTTTTTTCATCATATTATTACATTTAAAGTAGTCATTCTTTTCAATTTTTTGGATTTTATGTTTTTTTTAAAATTCGTCATTATCAAACTTACATGATTATTTGCCAACATCAACTCATCAATTTATAGTTAACGTTGTTTGTTTTGTTATAAACTTCATCCGGTCAATAATGTAAATAAAGTTTATAAATTTTTTTTGTTTATTTTTTACGTAAGCAAATTATTATAGTGAGAGCTTGATATTTATATTGAAATTTATTACCCAAAATACTATTTAAAATGTATAAATTTTGTTGAACTGAGAGAATCTTTCAAACTAATCATAACTTATTAATTGTCATTGGCGTTTATTATCAGTACAAGAAAAGGATGGATTTCAGAACACAGAAATGAATTAAGGTTTCTAGTAGTATTTGACTACTTCTTCAAACTTCAAATTTTGAGAGGTGGTTAAGTTTTTGAATTTTTTGTTCGATTACAATGGTTCATTCTTGAAAATAATAAACCAAAATATTTTAATTTATTGAAATCCCTCCCTGCCTGTTTAGACATGCAAGTGTTTACATGAATGGAGAGGCAATACGTAATTGTGTTACAACTCGCTGTTACAAGCGAAACAATTGTATGTTTTATATAGGCCGTGCAGACAGCTTGTTCTTCAGCCACCGTCCTCTCCTTTCCGGAGAGGCTTGGGCCTTCCTGAAAGAGCTCCTTCTTCCCAATTCAAGGAGAGATGGGTTGGATCAACTACTTCTTTCTACCCTTCAATAAAAGCCTTATAGTAGGGGTTCATCCTACGACGACTTCCTAAAAAACAACTAACTAATTAATAGTTCAACATCAATTCTATAGAAAGATCACTGAGCAACAATAATGACGAAAACAATTGTGTCAACTCTTTGATATTCTCTATGTAGCTGCGCTTTTTGAAGCTTGCAGTGTTGTATACTGGGACCAGTTAGGGAAAACTCGCGGCATTAGCTAAATATATATATATATATATATATATATATATATATATTTCAATTAATATATTCAATAAAAATAGTGAAAAATGTGTATTCTGCCACCTGAAAATATGAATTCCAGAAGGTATCAATGAAACAGTTTACATAGTTTTGGGAGTTCCAAAAAAAAAATAGATTTAACCGATGTTGCGAATTTTCTCTTACTTGTCCCACTGTGTGGACGTCTATTAAAATGTATCAGCTTGTTTTCTTCGCCCTGCTCTTCCAGCTACTCTTACAGCTCTATTAGTTATCCCAGGATGGCCTTAGTTTTCCCACTTGAAATAGATGAACGACATCCTCTGACATTTCAAGAACTGACATTTCAAATTCACTAATAATTTTCTTCTTCATAATCGAGTCAACAACCGTTAATCTTTCTTCAACTCTTTAACATGATTTTGGCTATTACATAGCTCACAATACAATAAATTTTAGAGGTTATCACTTTAAAATAATATTAATATTATATTAGGAAATACAAACTCTATTTTATAAGAAAACAGGATTGACATAAGTAAGCTTGGATACTTCATTAGATTGGATAGTTTTATTTTATAATTCTTGATTTTTTGCCTCACTCCTGGTCACAATAGGCCAAAATAAATAGGAAAAAAACTTCTTGATCATAAATGTAACATTTATAAATGGATTAAAAGATATTTAACACCAGTAGCATAATTATAGCATGACAATAAAAATTTGTTTGAACTGTAAAATAACTAAAATTAGAAAGTATTATTAAAATCAAATTTAATAAGTATTTGTTTACCTGAATAGATTTTCGGTGGCGGAGATCGAACCTGCCTGCTTGTACCTATGTGGTGCCTCAGTGATCAGAGAGAGGATGCTCACCGAGCTGGGTATCACCTGCCTCATCTCAGCTTGTCCAGAACTTCCAGAACTCCCTCTACCAAGCTCCGTGAGCCAATGTTGCAGGTTGGATATCCGGGATGTCCCCATGGCCAACATCGCAGTGCACCTTTCTCCTGTAGCCGACCTCATAGCTAAGGTATGTAAATAAAAAGTTTAAAAATTAGTACAAGATTTAATTCATGAAACTTGACCATGTCTCCTAAAAGATAGATAACAACAGACCCACCTCCATTTTTTCCCAACTATATTCTTGATCAAACAATTCATTTTAATGAACTCACAATAATCGAGTTAATATAAGGTTATAAAATATTCCGAATTTCCAATCAAATACACATATTAAACTACTAATGTAATAAAATACCTACAATCTCAAATTAGCTGCAATGCTATTTGGCAAATAAATGCGCTTTATAGTCTGGCAATTCACCAATATACTTCAGGATGAATTAGTCACTTATTTTCTGAATGGGATATTAGAAATTATCCAAACAAAAAAAAAAAAATTATTCACACAGGTACATATAGGAGTACATGTGAATCTATAATTTAATTTTGAGGGGTAACTTTTTTTTTTTTTTTTTTTTGTAACTGTAAGTACTGTGGATGAAAAAAGAAAAAAAATACCTTTACAAAATGATAATTGAAATTAAATGATAAAATTTGGTAATCAAGCTGTAACGTAATCTGAAGAATCTCAAGAGTATTGCCGACTTCATCCTCTCAGTCCCCAGCTTAGCCATTTGAATGTGGAGAACGAAGAAGAAAATAATTGATACTTCAACAGATAAATTTCTTATTTTTTTTTTATACTTGCTTACATTTAGTAGCTATGTATGCATTATGATTCAAAAAGAGAATATATTGTGATTGTTTATGTACTTAGCTTAAATCGCTAACAAAAACAAACATGGACCAATGAAAAAAATTTACAATTTTTCCATTTTGAAGGGACTCCAGTCTGAAAGCCTCATCTCCCACAGATCCACCATTGTATAGAAGAAAGAGTAAATCTACAATTTTTTTTATTCTCATTACATGAATAATGAAAGAGTAGTGGCAGTGCATGTAAAATAAAATCTTAAGAGAATGCCAAAGAGAATTAAAATCGTTCCCTAGCAGGTTTTAAGCTAATTTTTCCTAAATCATCCAGATGCTCTATATCCAAATAATCTAGCCTCTAAGGGAATTAAACCGAAACCGCATACAAATATCACAATTAATGAATATAGTACATGAAGGGATGGTTAAAGAGATTTTATCAGCTGGAGAAATATTTGATTGTCATATATAGAGTAAAGTCTTGTTAAAATGCCAAGTAAATGAAAATTCACAGAAGAAAACGAAAGAAAAAAGTAACATTAAATGTTTCTGAAAAAAAATATTGCATAATATAGAAAACTGAAAATATAAGAAAGAAAATAGAGAGTTAAACTAAAATAATCTCTACATCTAATCACAATATTTTCTAAGAAATCGAGTGAAATTTGCTTGGTGAACCCCAGAAACGTATCCATGACAGTAAGAAAGTACTGTAGATCTTTTTTCATCAGCGAAAACGTTTGGTGTTCACTTCTGAACTAGGAACTGACATTGTAATGACACCCTGATTTCATAGAAAATTGAAAAAAAAAAAAAAAAAAAGTATTGTGGTTATTTTTAAAGAGTTAAATGGTTATTGGAGTACAGTATGCACATGCATTACATGATTATATGATTTTTTTTTTAACATTAACATATTAAAATTGAAACATACTGTACAAAAACATTAATCTTTGTAACTTCAAAAGAGGCTTGCAGCAAATTTTAAAAAATAAGGTTACATGTAATGAACTTTTTTTTTATCACAGCTATAAATTTCAGAATAATATGTAATCATGGTTCACTACCACTAAAGGAAATTATTAGAAATTCAATTATCTGTTTTTGAGATAACGAGAACCATATGAGTACATTGCCAAAAGCTTGAGCGATGAGCTAAAGTAGAGAAACTAGAAAATTAGAAACCAAACAACTCTACTTAAAATTCTAAATTAAATAATTTCTGTATTTATTAAACTCAGATTGAGGATATGGTCGTATAGGATACAAACATTACATTTATTTCACCAAAGAAACTTCTTGGAATATTTCAATGAAAATGTCATGATCATAAGATTTAGAATTATAACTCAAATGGGTCACCTAAATGTTTGTATTTGTTGTTTTAAAAGTATGAAAGTATATAGTTAAATAAGTTAGCAAGTGTTAACATTGTGCTTACAAATAGATGAAAATTATAAAAGACTTTAAATTTTTATATCTGTCAGTTTCAATAAGGTCCAAACCATTGATTTTCAAAAAAATATCCCATAATCTTGCCAAACTAAAACTGATAAATTTTTCAAAATTTCTTTTATAGAAATACTTTTAAGGTAGCTAGATGAAATAAAAAATATATATATTGTCTAAACCCATAAGAAAACTAAATCTCAATAATAAAAAATGACCTGGTACCTTCAGAAACTGGCACCTTCAAAGTATATTAAATAATATGACATTCAAACAATAACAAAAATATTTTATGTTAAATTAGGTAAAAGAAGAAGGTGGCCGAACATTGGTACATTGTGTTGCCGGTGTAAGTAGATCTGCATCCCTCTGTATAGGATATCTCATGAAATCAAAAGGAATGTCTCTAGAAGAAGCTTACAACCATGTCCTGTCGTGCAGACCCTGCATCAGACCAAATAATGGTTTCTTCGAACAGCTTATACAGTTTGAAAAAGAACTAACAGGTTCCAACAGTGTAACAATGGTTTATAATGAAGCTGCAAAAGCTACCATTCCCAATGTCTATGAATCAGACTATGAAAATACAATAAGGTATATTAATCGTTCGATTGGTATAAAATAAGAGAATCTCTACTATTATTTAAAAAATTTATATTTTCTGATTATAGGCTGATTTGTGGACAGTAAATTGTTTAAATGAAGGGAATATTAGATAAGACAAAAAATATTTTGAAGCAAATGTGAAAAGTATTATTTATTCTCGCTAGACTCAGGCATGTAGGCAAGGGAGGTTGAATCTCCTGTATCGTAGGTAGTGTACATTACATGAAACTTTATACAGCTACATTTACCACTATATCCGTTGACACTCCAAGAATGTTTTAGAAGCAATTTTTAATGGATTCATTACCACAAAACTTTAAAAATTTTCTTTGATACAGGAAAGAATACAGTATCTTAAAATTACTAAACTGTCCAATCAATAAAAAATCTGTACCTCTGCCCAAAGCAGGCATCAAGTAAACCTTAAATATCGGTTTAATATTTTATGATTGTTCGATAAAATAAATGTCGAACAAATTTAAACAGATTGTAAATATTTTTATTTAAGTTATTGGTTTGGAACTACTAGAATCAATTCTTCACTAACTTATTCTATTTCTAAAAATTGTATAAAACTTAATTTTAACATATAAAAATAACTATTAAAAAATAATGATTATAGTTCCGTCCTGTAAATAAGTCGATTCCATAACTTAACAATTTAGAAATATGAAAATACTTTAAACTAATGCAATTTACTAATTAATTTTATTTGTACGCCTTAAAACAAAAAAAAGACTGATAGTTAATAACTTATCCAATTTTGCAAACTAATTATAACACTAATATAAATTAAATAAATAATTAATGATGAAATAATTGTTTGTTTTTACTAACCACTGACAAACCAACCAGAAAAACATAAAAAATGATAATGTCATACTTTAAAGATTAAAATCATATAGGGTTTCGGAAATCAAATGTATAGTACTTCATTTAAGTCAATACACTAACCTCTCCACAGCTTATTATGTACAATTTCTTTATAATGTATAACATAACTTTGATCCAATTATGAGTAATACTTACTCTCAATTATTACAAAAGAAATAATGTAATGGAAACAAAAAATTAAGGACATAATAATAACATCTGGTTGAAATAGGATTTACTATCACAAATTTGATTCTATTTATTTAAGGATCAAAATAAATGTTCTGAATTAATAGAAATTAAGTTACCAGTATTGTTGGTAGGAAAACATTCCACAGTCCTAGCTAGACATCAATGACTCAAAAGCCCAAACCAATTCTTGAGTAAACATTAATAATTTCAGAAATAATTTATTTAATGAAATATTCTTCACATAATTTTAATAAACATTTTTACTTTTACTTCTGTATTCATAAAAAATAATAACTGTACAAAAATTACTTTATTTTATGCTGATCTAGACCATCTAGTTAAATATGTCATGATCACTAAAAATACTTTTTCGGTCAGTAGAAATAAAACTAATAAGTAATTATTTAATTTCAATTTCTAAAACATTGCAGTCTGTCAAGTGAATGATTTTGGTTTATAAATTATTTTGAGCTGTAGTTTTTTATAGTTTTGTTTTGCTTGATGTTTTTCTCTTCATAGATAAACACACACTCAATGTATGCATTAATATATACTAATTTAAAATAATTTCATAGAAATCAAGAGTTATTTGTATTTACGATTAAAATGATTTTTATTACTTTTTAATGGCATTAACTCTTGGTTACTGATGAAACTAAGGCTACAAGGTATTTTTTAATGTTATTTTATTTTTTTTAAATTAATTTCAAGAAATAGATAAGGGGCTGATGGGGATATATAACTATAAGAGTCAATTATAGGTTAATTTAAAGTATTTTGAGCTATTGAGCCCTTTTTTGTATAATATATCAATGATAAGCAAACAAAAGAAATATTAAAATAAGCTATCAACATAAAGATATTAAGAACATATTTCATAAATATGTATTGTATGTATTGTATAAATATGTATTGTATTTCATAAATATAAATGTATGACAAAAAGATAAGATTATAAAATATATAGAAACAATTACTCACTAAATTCTCAAATGTAATAATTCAAATTTTAACTTTAAGTAATAATATAAGTTTGTGATACTAAGATTAATTTATATTAGAATTAAAACTGTATTATATTTCATTCCATATTTCATTTTTAAGTTGTAAATCACTTAGTGCAAGAGAATTCACTAATATTTTTTTATGTTGTGTGCAACAGTATTTTTTGAACTTATATGTTTTTAATGTAGTTATTTTAAGCAATAAAATTCATTACAGAATATGATTCTTGTTCATTAATAAAACAAAAATGTGTCTTATAGACTACCTTACCTAATCCATTGATTCACAACAGCTATTTATAATTAATAATTATTAATAGAAAATATAAATCAGGGATTCTCAAATTGTATAACTAAGGCACACCAAGGTGCCGCTTCTTTCAGAATTTCAGCAGCAATAATGTTTATGCCATTTGAATATTTAATACTTAAGTTCAAAATGGTTAAATTGGTGAATAGACCTACAGTAAATTAATAATTTTATATTCATTAATAACAGAATTAAAATTATAACCATTCTAATTTAAGATATCTGGGGAAAATTTGATTTAGGATATTTATATTGCACAAAAAATAAGTAAAGATTCTATTATATTAATCTTTTAAGGTTGAGTGTGCTATAAAACATTTTTAGCCCTGCAAGGGTGCCTGAATATTTTTTAGCATGACTAGAGTGCTACATAAATTTTTAAGCCTGACAAGGATTACAGTTGAAACACTGCTGCAATAGCTGTTAAAATGGAGTATTTTTTAGTAACAGGTAAAACCTATCAAGTTTTAAAAAAATATAGATTAAAAAATAAATGTTTATCAAAATTTAAATCAAGGACCAAAATTTCAATACAGTAGCGTAACTAGGCGATCTGTGGTCAGGTGACTTTATTTGTAGGGTCCTCTATTTACCTCTATAATCATAACGTTCTTGTTTAATTAAAACCCACACCGATTCCAAAACTCTTGTAAATATTAAGTGTCAATGATAAAAACTTGACTAATTGGCAGTTGAAGAGAAAAGAAGCAAGTTGTATTTACTGAGCTAAAAATAGTGACCCTTAGTATGATCAATCATAGTCAAAGCTTCACCCACAAAGAATACTTTGATTTATAAAAAACCTGATAAAATTTTTCGCTTAACATTTGAATAAATCTAAAAATTCTTCTTTAAAATATGCATATGAAGATATCTTGCATGAAATCATAAATTAGCTAAGCAAGACTTAGTCTCAAATATTAATATAACCTATAATACTACAACCAATGAAAGGTCTTGAGTTCATTACTATTTAGAGAAAGTACTGTTTCTTAGTCAACAGTAGTGCAAGGAGGTGATTTTACAGAGATCACGCTCAACAGCCAGGTTTTCCGTCTTAATTAATTATTCAATTAAGGATACCCACTTTATAGAGGCTGGGTGTGCCCCCAGGAGGGTCTCCTGATCCCAGGGTCGCCCCGCGGCTGATGAAACAGAATAAATAATTTTTCTGCCATTAGCCGTGATTCGAACCGGGACCTTGATCATTGGAAGATCAGTACCCTACCACTGAGCCACCCCACTCCCAATATTAATATAACAATTTATAAAAAAACAAATTAAATAAATGTGGTAGGTAAACACTATCTAGGATGCTAATTCAATTTTTTCATAAATCTAGGAGAAGATCAAAATAAAATATAAAAATTTGTTGAATATTTTTATTACAATTTCCCTGAAAACATAAATACATAAATACTTTTTTCAAACAAAATAAGTTTTAAATAAAATGTGAATTATAATCAGTCAGTCATGTATAATTTTGGACTCATTGGAGAAGAAAATGGACGTCTTTTATCAAAAATAGATGGACTCATTCCATCATGTCTGTGAAAACGCATTTCAATCACTTTATCAAAAAACCTACTCAGTTTAACAGATGCACTGCTACCAGGGGATAACGATCTACCATCTCTGCAATCCTAAAAACAAATAAAATTAAACCATTTACAATAATTAAAAGTAGATCCTGGCAAAACCTTTTATACCATATATGATATGTCACCAAGTAATCAACATGAAAAATAGCATTGAAAATATGAAACAAATGTGGATTAAATGAAAAATCAAAATAAACTATAACTCAAGCAAAAATTAGAACCAATGAATTTAAAAGTTTTCATATCTATTAAACTTAATTTTAGTATTATCTTTAAAACATTGAATCTTCTTAGATTTTTTTAACTGAGAGCTTAGGTTGAAATGAATCTCACATAGTATACCTAAAGAGCTTAAAAAAAAAATTACATTTTCTTAAATAACGCCAAATTTCTAATATTCCATAAAAAAAAATATGAATATTAGTACAACTCATGAGAACAAGAAAGAATTATGTAATTTCTTGAAAACTCATCTGGAAAAAAAGAAATCAAGGATTACTTTTCCAATCTTAGTATACTACTCAATCTAATATCTTAAGCTATCTAATATAGCAACAATCTTAGTTATGACCAAATAAAGTGTTAGACTAACTTACGATTCAGGATATCCATTTGAATTATATAATTTCAACTGTCAAACATAAACAAATTACGAACAAAATAATCTAAAATGGAGTATTTCCATGAATTTTCAATTTTATTTAACTGCGGAGATTAAATTATAAAAAGAAAAATGTAAAAAGTCCTGAATTATGTATTTTTCTGATTTATATTAGCAAATATAAGTGGCATTACAGAAAATTGAATCGAGCAAGGTATTTAAGTTAAATACCAGCTATGTCAGAGAATAACCATAGTTCAATTCTATAGTTTTAGCATGGAAGAGTTTAAAAATTTTCATCCAAGAAACATCTTACAGTTTTTTATTTTTTAATCTATCACTTAAGAGTAATAATCTTTAGTTTAAAATATCTTTTTACTAGATGAGCCTCACTATTTTTCCAGCAGAACATTTGGATTATACATGCCTGTTTTATGTGCATATGATCAAATCAAAAACATAACATGAAAAAACAAAAGAACCAATCACTAAATAAAACAACAAAGATTGATTTGACAGAAAATATCTTCACCAAGGTGGCTTTATATTAATTTTTTTTTACATATGTGGTAGCTTTCAACTATTTATAATATTGTAGATGGCAGGATATGATAAGTAATCTATTTATTTACTTTTGTTGTGTTTCAACTTCATTTTGTCTTCTTATCTCGAATGGATTTGTGTGATGATCAAAATTTTATCGTTTTGATGGCTTTTTTAATAGTAGTCAAATGTGATTCTAACATCATCGTGAACCTATAAATTTCTATTTTACAGTATTGTTTAACAGTACCCCACTTATACCTGCTGAACAAATACGTTACCTAAGACTACGTCTGGACAAACATCTAACTAGGAACAAGACTGAAATGACAAGAAACTGTTTGACGTTTCCGGTTACATCACCACATACTAGAAAAATGCACTAAGCTTCCAATAGAAAGGATCATATAAATGACGATAATAAGTCCAATTTGGAGTTATTGAATTGAGCATAGGGACTCCACTAAACCATCAAATTCCTCTCATATTCAATCCTTACAATCTAAAATCCTTCATAAAATAGTCAATGCTCTGTAATTTTCTATCAATAAAATCATCCATAATGAACTTAATGTTCCTTATGTTATCAATTTGGTCCAGTCCAGATACCTATTCTTCTATAATAAACTTCAGAACCATCCGAACCCTCTCATTTCTAACCTCGCCTTCTCTTCAATCCCTGATATAATCTCCTAACGAGTTTGAAAAGAAGATGACCTCATGATCTTGTTTAGAAATCTCACTAAAGTACTAACAGTGGATAGTTTCAATTTCTTTCATGCCATTTTATTCTTCTGTTCACACTGACTAGATGTATTTTTATTAGAATATTTTTTACAGGCCAGATCCAGTATTTCAAAAGCTCAAAACCATTTCGAGGCGAAGCAGATCGTTTGAAAAAAAATCAGATGTAAGTCTTTCCAGTAGTTTTTGGGGTTAGCTGTCACAAACAAAAATAAAAGGCTGTCGTTTTATACATTGGGTTGGCAAATAGTCCTTTCAATTTTTCAGGATGAGATAAAACTCAATTTATTATAGACATAAAATTTATTTGAATCTACAAAATATTGACCATTATTTAATTTGACTTTTTCCCATCTTTCCACAAACTGCAAAATGCCATGTTCATATAATGTCTGGAGTTTATTGTTAAAAAACTGATCCAAGTGGTTTTTGATGTACTCTTCCTTTTGGAATTTCTTTCCATTCATGGAGTTCTGTAGAGAGCAGAATAAGTTGTAGTCACTTGGAGCTAGGTCTGGTGAGAAGGAAGGCTGGGAAAAAATGTCCTATCCAAGACTCAATCATTTATTGCGTGTGACCAATGAGGTGTGGGGCCTACCGTAGTCTTGGTGGAACACAAAACTCTTCCGATCTGTCTGTTCTGGGAGTTTACTTTTAATTGATTGATCCAATTTTGTTATTTGTGAGCAGTACAGAATTGTTTGTGCTGATGGCAATAACTCATAGAAAATAACACTCTTGAAATCCCACCATGTGCAAAGCATTATCTTCTTTGGATGCAATCGGGTTTCGACATTCTTCTAGGAGCCGCAGTACAAGAAGTCACTAGTCTCAAAGATTTTCTACAGACTACATTATCGTAAAATATCCATTTCTCATCTCCTGTTACCAACCTTTTCAAAAATTGGTTGTTTTGTTGTCATTAGAGAGTGAGAGTGACCCAAAAATTAAGCCTGGAAACATAGCGGAGCTTGTGCAAATGGTTTTCTACGCTTGTGTGCGACACATTTATGGCCATAGCAATCTCTCGCACTGATTGGGTGGGATTTTGATCAACAATGGCCTTAACATTGCTCGTTTCAATCTCATGTGGGCGAGCAGACCTTTGAGCATCATTGATGTAAAAATTTCCTGAATGAAATTTGGCAAACCAATTTTGACAGGTGCGTTCAGTTAAGGCGTCATCCCCATAAACACAGCAAATTTTTCTATTAGCTTCTGCAACATACTTACCTTTTTTTAAAATAATACAACAAAATATGCCGATAATGAATGATATTTTCTTCCATATTCAGAGTGCAATAAAACACAATACTAAGCTAGTTTCAACAAGAGTTACAAATATAGTTATTGACATATTACAAACCGGATAAACAATCCACCTTAAGGATTAATTTATCAGATAAGAAGTGAATGATAGTGACATAAAAATAAACAGAAAACTGAAAGAACTTATTTGCCAATCCAATAATAATATGTATAGGGTTTTATAAATAAATATAATAACCCAACCATAAAAACATAGAAATTGCACTCAACGAATGCATACACATGAGACCTCACTTTACCAGCTACTCTGAACCCTACCACTGATGTGGTAACTTCCTGAAGCACTGATGTTTCTTTTATAATAATTGTTAAAAATTCAATCAAAATCTTTTAAGGTTTATTATCACACAAATTCTATTGTAGCTCAAATTTTCACATTTTTTTTTTCCAATGCAAGTACCACATTCACAAACACTATAACATGAACATGGAGGTACTTGTCTGATAGCAGGTCAGGACGAAACCTCCCTTGTTATCTAATGTTACATCACATAACTTCCCTTCTTATCTCATGTAAGCTGTGAGTAATTCAATTGTTTATTTTTGTTCCTCGTGTAAGCTGTTAGTTATTCCATCGTTTATTTTTGTTCCTCGTGTAAGCTGTGAGTTATTCCATCGTTTATTTTTGTTCCTCGTGTAAGCTGTGAGTTATTCCATTGTTTATTTTTGTACCATTTATGTGATTTTCGTCAAATTGCGGATGTTATTACATTCTGAAAATTACCATCTTCAGAAGAAGAGGCTATCCAATATTTTCAAAACGCCGGGATAATTCCAAATGTGTAATTGGGTGAAGAAAGTCATATTATAGAGTTTACATTGTTTCTTTTAAATGTAAATATGTTGTTAAAGTGTTTTTTATTATTTCATTTTTTTTTTATTATTACATTTATTTTTGTCTATTTCATGTATGTGTTGTAAAATTAAAGTGTTTTGTTATTATTGTGGAAATCATTACATTTCTGTCTATTTCAATTTCAAATCAAACAGTTTTGTTATTATTACATTTGTTTTTGTTTACAATTTCAATAATATGAATATAATACAATAAATATAAATATGAAGATAGGAATTATCAGTGCCTTATCAGAATTATCAGTGTTCAGGTTATAAACATTGGCAGATAACAGTCGGTCCCGTCTGGCTATCAGACAAGTACTAACATGCAATCAATTAAATCTTATAACAGATTTCATTCATTATGTTAGTGCTTTTTTATCTTTATAAACTCCCTTTTCACTGGTAACCCAAAATTTTAAGAAAAATACAATGACCAAGTCAATGAAGCCAACTTAGTGTTCTCCTGATTTAATGATTTAACCACATAAAAGGAAAATCAAGAATCGATGAGCATAAAAACCAAAAGATATTTTTCTTAATAAACTGAAGCTTAATAACAAATTCAATATGAAGGGATTACTTTCATTCTTACCAGATAAAGTTTATCTGCACCCCAATCCTGAGCAATATCACCACCACCTTTATCAATACCGTTTGCCCTCTTCTCTCCAGCCAAATCAAGCTTTGTGCCAATAAATATCATTGGGATCTATAATAACATTATTTTTTTAAAATAAACTGAACTAAATAAATAAAAGCGTTTATTTATTTTTTTAAATAATATTAGAAATTATAAGTTTTACTATAAAACAAATATTCCAAATAATAAAAATAAACCTGTCCATAACATAAATAATTAGTTGAATAAAACCTTGTTGTACAATGAAACCCCACAAAAAATTAAAATAAGGTCTATAAAATAGCACAAACAAATAAATAATTAACATAATTTATCAATAAGGCCTGATGATGCTGTCCTAGCATTGTCCATCCTTAAAAAAGGTTTACATAACCTGCTGAACCTACAGCATTAATGATTTCAATAAAAATAGTTAGGTATTATAAGTAAAGCAATAGTTCATAGTTACAAAGCAGTAAAATAATAGTTAAAAATAACTTCATTCTTGTATTTATTGATTCATAGTCTAGAATCTATTAGACAAAACTTTTTAGAATACTCAGAACTTTTTTATTACTCAACTATATCACAAGACCTCTATTAAATATATAATGTCTTTTTTTGGCCAATGTCTCAAAAGATTTATAAGTTTGATCTTCAAATTATTTAGTGAAATCCCATGTTCCGAGAGTTTTGAAAGAATTTAAACATAACATAACGAAAAATCATTTTATAAAATATATTTGATCAGTCTATTTTTCCAAATCAACCCCCACCCTTACATATAATGATTTTCTAAGTGAATGGCTCAATACATTTTTGAGTTTGCTGACACAAATTATTCTGAAAGATCACATTAGTGTTTTGAAAGTATTTGAGATAAAATTGAATTTTAATTAAATGTGTTTAATCTGTCAGCCTGAAGGTATGTAAGATTTTTTTATAGCTTTTAATTTTATGGCTTAGATCACTCAATAAGATCTCATTTACATTTAAAAACAATTTGAGCTATAAATAATGAACCTATATTTTAAGAATTCTCCATTTTTGTTGATTGGTAGATTGTTGATGAAATTGATGTCTACCGGGTGCCTAAATATGAAATCAAAATTTGCCTAATGATGGTTATTGTTAGACTAGTAACGTAGTTATCATTAAATACCATTATTGGTGCCATTTCGTTTCTTCGACAGCTGGCAAGGATTTTAATTTCACAACAAGATGTTTCATAAAAAAGTACCATTTTAATAGTGTCCAACATGTAAAATTTTGTGCCTACAAATTAAAATTTGTCGCATCAGTTTTCTGTCACCATTTAAAGAAAACTGCATTGAATTCTTGTCACAGCTTACGATGGCATGATCTTGGTAAATCACAGTGTTTTGAGTAATTTAAAAAATTCAAAAGTGGTGATTATGAAGGTGAGAAACAAAGAATGTAAAGCAAGAAGGTAGGAAGCAACAATAAGGTGCAGTTTTTCTCTTTATAGACATTAAATGCACTAACAATTACCAATGATTTTAAGTAGATATGCAAGTAAATTCCAATTAGAATAGATAAGGTTCTGCGGTTAGGTATTTAATTATTTTATTGGTTTTAATTTTTGTTTTTATATTTCCTCTTCTGTCGCAAATTATTATATTAATTGACTTGAAATTAAATCAATGATCACTCAAAATCAACCAAAATCACCTTTCCTACCTCTGTCCCTATTGTCCAATCATTACCTGAAAAAAAATTAATATTAATATTGATTAAGAATAATAATCACAAATGAAATTACCATTGTAGAACCAGCAAATTGTTCATTATCATATTCATCATAGACTTGTTTATTTTTTCCTCCTTCTTTGTTTAAAACTTCAGCCAACCAATGTTTCAAATTTTGCTGTGATTTTCTATTTGTTAAATCATGAACAAATATAATACCTGAAATAAATTAAATTAACAACACAAAGCACAGAAAATGATGGTTATATTCAAAAGTTCACAAGTATTTTTCTGTAAACTCCATTAATTTAAAACTACTAGCCAGATCCTCAACCAAAGGTAATTTTGGACGAATAGCCATAATTTTACTCCAACCAAATAAATCATCCTCTGACTAATCTCAAGAACTAGTGGGCACTAATGGCTAATTAGGGCATTAGTGGTCATGTTTGGAGGAAAAGTTAAATCAAGACCACATCAATCATTGATAGATTTCCTAAAAAACCCGAGTTGTGACAACCATGTCTGGGCTGAGCCCTCTATCATTGCTTAAAGATTAAAGAAACTCTTAGCTTATTGACACAAGCCATAATTTGAACTGGATAAGCATTGGATAAATAGCCAGCGCTTTACCTACTAAGCTACTTTATTATGTAATAGTATTAAAAAATACAAACTAAATTTTCAATTATGTGCCATTACCATGAACTGAGTTATAGAAAACACTCCTTGTGCTCCTATGATTACTACTACCCCCAATGTCCCAGAGTTCTATGAAATAGCTTTTTTGATGTTGTGTTCCTTCTCTGAATTCATGCAATTTAACTTCAACAGAACATCCAACTGTCCATGATGGATTGTGTATCGGCTCATTGTGTGCAATCAAGTGGGTTAAACAAGATTTTCCAACACCTGAAAGTAATAATAAATGATGAGCTTCACACATCAAATATTAAGCTTCAAAAGCCAATATCAAAACTTATTTAGATAACATTTCCCTTTAAAGACAATATAAATAAACACCCTTATTCAAAGGCAGAATTAGGTTCAAAATCTCAACATGTCTTGTAAAAGACCAAAATTAGATAAGATAATAGTAAACAAACATAATGTTAAATTGAATATTTCATTCAAAAACTTTGGATCGTAACATTAGGGGCAAAATTGCTGTGATACTTATATTAATACCATTAGTCTAATCATTGTAAAAACAAAAATTCATCCAGCCATTAATATTTACATGTTATGAGAAAACGAAACAAATAAAAAATAAGAGTGAGATCATTTTCTGACAAGCAATTTATTCAGAGAAACGTACCCGAATCGCCAACTAACAAAACTTTAACTTTATCGATTGCTGCCATATTATTTTAAATTCTCATATTATCCTTATCCTTACTGTCAAATTAATAAACTTAAAGACAATCTTTGACCAATACTTTTATCACTAAACTTTAAATAGCTCCTTAAACATGGAACACATTTGTATTTTAATAAGAAAACTTCACTGACGTGCCACATAACCTGTCAAAATATGAAATCCGAGTATTACTTCACAAGTGTTGAGGTTTTAAATATTGGCCTGTTGGTTTGAAAGTTATATTTTCATTGAACTGGGCCAGTAAAATATTTCAATCTAGTTTTAATAGATATAACAATGGAATGGAAAACATACCGTAGGAGCAGTCAGATATATGAGAGGAAGATAACAAGGGGTAAAGAATTAATTTAATTTATATTTCCCATCTTATCTTCAATTCAAATAAGAATCAATTAAGAAGCTGTGAAAAACATTTTAGCAATGAACGTAGAACAGAAAGCATAATTTAATTTAAAAGAAGGCGCCAAAGTGATGAGTACTTTGTAAGAATACCATTAGAGATCGCTGGTCAGCTAAGTATATGTTAATCAGGGTTACCACTTTGGTGAAAGAGTTCCAAACAAAAAAGTTTGACCCCTCTGGATAGATGAAACTTTTATACACGAATTTTTGTACTAAAAGGTGATGTTTTTGTGCCGCTATGATCGTTTGGTAGACTAAATTTTAAAATTTCTAACTTTGGATTGCTAAATTCACCAATCTCACCAGAAACTATTTGGGTTGCTAAATTCACAAAAATTAACCAGGAACAGTGCTGACCTTAGACATCCGACGCCCCCGGGCAATGACGTCATCTACCTCCTCCTCCCCCCCCCCAAAAAAATAAATTTATTTCTTAAGTGGTTTTATATTATGTAATAATTGAATTTTATTCCAGTCAACATTTCTCTAATACAGTTTCTTTATTGTTAGGCTAATTATTTTAATACATTTGAATTTTTTTTTTCCAAAAGTTGGATTGTCCCTTAGTCTGAAACTTTTCATCCTCGTTGAAATGTGCTGTCCTCAAAAATTTTGATGGCACAACTTGCGCCATGAAACCCCCAGAGGGCATTCCATTATTAAATGTGAGAAATGTTATATTGAATGGTGGATTGGGATAATTTGAATAATTATTTGATTTTAAGAATAAAACAAAATTGTCATGAATGTCAAAATTTCTATAGTGGTTTAGCCTTCGTCTTGACCATACATATGGGTCAAAACGTGGACATCAATTAAAGAAATTTTGACTGAAATTCCTGAGAATGTGGTTTCATCTTTATAATTCATCAGTCGACTACTTAGTATTCTTTAAAGTATTTGATTTTAATTGTGAATATACTCAAATACTCACAATTTAAAATAAATATAAGATTACAATATATTTTCCCCCTTATTCCTTGGTTTAGTTTTACCCCAATTAACGCTCCACAAAACTATGATTTTCTCCATAAATTCATCTAGTAAATATCTGCCCCCCTTCAAAAAATTATAATCCCGCAAAAATGTTCCACCCTAAAAATTTTTTATTTTCAAAATTTCAAGTTGAGCCATACTCTCCCCTTCTGCTTTTGTTCTTTTATAAGCTTCTTGATTTATTCTATTTTTTGAGATATCGGTTTTCGATACTAGAATTTTTAATTTTGTTGTTGATATGTGGAATTAAAACTATCGGAAGATGGTATCGATTTAATTCTTTAGAATATTTCGAGACATCGATAGTTTTCCAACATCCCTAGGCGTATGTGAGATTGGCTGTGGAGTTTAGATTGTTGTTGGTGTAGGGTTCACTTGTGTACACTATTTACAATGATGTCAAGATCGGTTCGAGCAGAAACTAGGAGTAGAGCGAAAGATGATATTAAACGAGTGATGCAAGTTGTTGATAAAGTCCGACGCTGGTAAATGTTAAGCAAGATTAATAAATGTCATTATTCTTTTGTGGTCATTAATTACTTATGTAAAATCTTTTCAGGGAAAAGAAATGGGTAACTATTGGTGAAACAACTATGAAAATATATAAGTGGGTTCCAATCATAACCAATGAACAAGTAAGTTTTTAGTATAATTTAAATGACTGGTTAAAATTAATTGTTGAATATAATATTATTTGTCGTTCACTATAGAAAAAGAAAGCTAAAGAGCATGGAAACAAAGAAAATTGCATTGGTAAACGATCAATGGACACCTCCAATTCTAATTTTGGTATCACAGAAGACTCTAACACTTGTAAGTATTATCTCTTTCTCTCTGCAAGCCTTCCGTTATAATTCACTTTTATATGTTTCACACATTATCTGTAAATGCCCTAGCTACAGCTATAATAATAATTTCTTCACCAACCTAAATAGCAAAGCTTTATATTCAAGGATAAGTAGAGGTTGTTATTTTATGAATATATTCATCGAATACAAGAATTATATATATTTTATTATAGGAATTATACTTGGTTAAAAAAAATAGTATCTATCTATCTTAATGGCTCTGCAACTTAATGCCTCTTCACTTCACTTCCAACAAATTTCTCTGTTCTGTGCAGCCACTTTATAGTTTCTGACTCCCAACAGGTCTCTTGGGACACCTGCCACACCATTTGCCCATCTCAATCTCAATCTACAAGCTCTCCTTGTAATGGCTCCTCAAGCACTCTATTGGGAATTTCAGATCTTTACACCCGAGGGTTATACCCAACTCAACCTTCCTAATTTTTCTATGCTGCGCACATTCGATTCATTAAACAATTTATAGACCTCTATTCTTCCAAATTATCCAATCCAGTCCCTCCTTTACAGGTCAAATATTCTTCTAAGGACTTTCTTTTCAGACACCAAAAGGTCTTTATCGTTATTTTTTGGTTACGGTCCATGATTGGCTACTGTAGGTAAGAACTGGCCGGATGAGTGTTTTATAGAGCTGCAGCTTCCTACATCTAATAAGTGATCTTATCGTGTGCTTGAGTAGGCCAAAATAGCATTGGTTAACAACTACTATTCTCCGCTTTATGACGTCTCAATTTTTTTGTCGTAATTTGAGTTCCCAGATGAGAGAACTTTTGGCCATTCGCAAAGGTTTAAGGGCCGAGAGATATTCTTTGGTTTTGGAATTTTCTCCTTTTTTATACATTTATTTTGTTTTATTCTCATTAATATGGAGCCCTATCTTAGTTGCAGCTTTTTTTGCAATTCAATGAAGGCACCTTCGAGAGCTGCAAAGGACCATGCAACAATATCAATGTCGTCAGCATAACTTAACACTTGCACCATATTTGTAAATACCGTGCTCCTAGTCTGAATGCTAGAGTCCCTCACCACCTTCTCCAGAGCCAAAGTAAACAATAAACATGCTAAAGCATCACCTTGTCTCAGTCCTTTATTGGTGGGAAACTCCAAGGAGCATTTCAATGAATGCATACTCTGCACTGTAAGTCTTGCATTGTCATTTTTACTGGACAAATTAGTTTAGTTCTCCCATTTCTTCATACAACTTTTGGTATTGTAGACGCTCTTGAAGTCAATAAGCAGATTATGAGTGGAAATTAATTACTCAAGACTTCTTTCTAGAATTGTTCGGAGAGAGAATATTTGATCTACCTTTTGAAAACCAGATTTATATTTAACAATTACTGAATGGGGCTATTCTGTTGTAGAGTATCTTATATGCGCACTGCAGTAATAAAATCCCTCTGTAATTGGTGCATTCCAATTGTTCTCCTTTCTTATGTACAGGACATATGACTGCATATTTCCATTGAAGAGGTATTCTTTTCTGTGTCCATATGGTGAATAACAAATCATAAATAAGCTTATTTAGCTCGTCGCAACCATATTTAAATAAATCAGTTGGTAATCCATCATCTCCTGGTACCTTATGATTTTTCATCTGGACAATCGTGTCCTGGATCTCTTCAAACTCAGAGGGTTCTATTTATCTATCATCAAGCATGATGTTATTGCGACTCCCACAATCCTTTGATTCTGATTCAGCTGCTCTCTTATTCAGTAGGTCATTAAAATGTCTAACACATCTTTCAAGTACTTCTTTCTTATTAGTGAGAAGTGAGAACCATCCTCCTTTCTGAATGAATTTGAAAGGAAGTGAGCATATCAGATTCTTTCAGTTTCATTATATTCCACTTCTTTTGTGCAGCTCGCCCTAATCCGAGCAATGTTCAAATAGTGGTCAGAGTTTACATTTGCGCCACTATATACTCTACTGCTTAATAGATTAGATCTATGTCGCACTAATTAGCAGATGGCCATTTTCCATCAGGTGATTTCCAGGTGGCCTCATAGATTTGTCGTTCCGGGAATATTGTGCTTCCCATTGTCATTGCACTCTTCATAAATACTGTGGAGGCCAATGGTTAGTATGCATATTTCTTCTTTTCCGATTTTAGCGTTAAAATCCCTCAACAAGATCTTTATGTCGCTCCTAGGGCATACGTTATGAGCTCTTTCTCCTCCTTCCTAAGTTCTCCTTCTCTTCACTCTATACTTTGGTAGGAGCATGACAGCTGATTAGGCTGTAATTAAAAAACACTCCTTTGATACGAAGAGTATAAAGCCGTTCATTAATGGGAGGGAATCCAATAACTTGTTGCCTTTTTTCCCTTCTCACTACGAATCCAGTTCCGAACGTATTTTTCTTTAAGTGGCAGCTACAATAAATAGTGTGGTTTTCTTCTCAATAAAACTGCTGACCACCAAGCAGACCTCCTGGATAGCGGCTATGTCCACTCTATAGTTGTCCAATTCTGTTAGGAGGACCTGTAGTCCTTCAGATCTGTAAAAGAATAGGATATTCCAATATCCTAATGTTTAAAGTCCATTTGACGGTTTTCATGTCTGTTACCGTTGATCAGTCCGGCTTTATTTCTTTTAGGTCTCATAATAGTTTATGTTTAAGGAGAGCGGATTATTAGCCCACTATCCTTATGTGGGCACGTATGGTGGAGGAGTTGCCTCCTCGGAACACCCTGACTTGCTCCTCATCCGGGGGGAGAGGGACGGGGAGGCTACCCAGGGAAGAAAACACTAGGATGAGTAGTGTAGTGTAGCTTCCCTTTTGTCAGTTTACATGTATAGTGTAGTGTTATGTGTGTATTTGTGTTGTGTACTGAACTCGGGTCTGTAATCCTAAAATGACACTCATACAGCGCCTGCCTTAGGGTGGAACAACCGGGGCACCGGCCAATCTACTTGTAAGATATTTAAAAAAAAAATACAAAATGTAGTAAAATAATTAATGTTAGCCTATCAATAAAGAAACTGTATTAGAGAAATGTTGAATGAAATAAAATTCTAAGATTACATAATATAAAACCGCTTAAGAAATAAATTTAATTTTTTGTGGGAGAGGGGTAGATAATGGGGTCAATGCCTGGGGGCGCCGTATGTTTAAGGCAGGCACTGCACTTATAAAGTAGTATCTCTTATTTTTTATAATCTGAATTTTGAACGGTATACAGAAAAGACAATCCACATAGTCCAATACGACTAAATTATCAAAAAAAAATTATATTATGTACAAGAAAAATAATTTGTGGTAGTTGTAAAACTGTTAATACTTTCATCTCATGATCTTGCTGAAAAAACTCGTGTGTCTCTATTCCCATTCTTATTCTTGAAACAAATTTCAGGGATAGATCCCGATTTTTTTTTATCATTAATAAATTGTTTTGAGAATGCTCTTTCCTCCACTTGTAAAATATTTAATACCAAGCACCTAATCCTCATTCCAAACTAACAACCGTTTTGTTGTTATCTCCAAAACTTTATTACAGATTATTCAATTGATCTGAATGAGCTAAATTCCTTTTTTCCCTAACTTTCTGCATTTTCATTTAATTTCTCACCCTTCTCTTTCCCTTCACCCCACTTTCAGCGTAATAACTTCCTGTAGCAAAATCTTATCTCCTCAATCCTTTATAATCCAGTTTTTGGTTCCAACATTCCATCTAATCTGTCTTGTTGAAAATCACAGAAGATACTCAATTCCTGTAGAAAACAGGAAATCTCTATCTTAACCCTTTTCAAAAGCTTATAACTCTGTTACTCATACAGTCATTCTTTCCTAACTCCAAAACCCTCCTATATCAAATAGCGTTATAAAGTTCCTCTCTTTCTCATCGTTCTAGACAGTTATCATTCCTAATAAATTTCCTCCCTTTTTTTCTTCTACTTATACGAGATGTTTCTTACTCTCTCTAACTCTTTTTTCTATTTCTATCGGCAATCTTTCACTTATGCTCTGTTCACCACTTATATGCTAATGATTTTTAAATCTACCAATTGATTCATCCTTCGAGATGCTGGAGGTAACCCAAAAGTTAAAAGAAGATATTGATAGTGTCAAAGGTCAGAACTCAATGAATTAAGGCTGAATGCTGAAAATACCTAGGTCATCCTTACCAGTTCCAGACTACTCATTGGTTTCCTATTAATATATATATATATATATATATATATTAGGAGTATGTATATGTGTATGTATGTGTGTGTGTGCGTGCGTGTGTATAATTATGATATGTATTAATTTCAATTATTATCTTTGTTTTATTGCCTCTCCAGAATTTTCTACCCGCTTTCTATTAAACTTTCGTTTAATTATCCATAATATTTATGAGTAATATATCTCTCGTCCATATTTACGCTTCCAGTACTTTAGTTCAAACTTCGTCAGATAACCGTTAGAGATGACGCCACAATACATCTCTTCTCTCCCCCCTCTCTCGCTACCATATTCAATTCTCCATCAACACTTGTGGAGACAGGTTTGTTTTTCTTTTTTCTCTTATTTCAGTTTCTTTCCTCCTTCCTTACATTCCTTTTCTCTGTTTTAACTCTTTATTATATTATACGTTGTCTGTACATCTTGATAGACTTCACAATATCTCAATTTTCTATCTAACTATTCTCTTCGCAATATCTTAATTTTACTATTTATTTTCACTTTTCATTTATCATGTTTCATTTATTTCACTATTATATTCCTTTTTTCTATTTTACATTTTATTCCAAGATTCCCATTTTAATACTTATGTCACCTTTTTTGATTATGTTTACTTCATCATTCCCCACTTTGTAACGATTATTATTATTTATCTCTTAGTTCTTACTATTGTCATTATTCTTACAACTTCATTTTACTTTAATTTTTTTACCTACACTACTTATGTTTCTGATACCTGATTATCTGGTTCTTTTCTTAGCCCTGATGAAGGCCTGAACTTCACGTCGAAACGTCGGCAAATGTCAAAATAAATATTATTATTTATTTTTGCCTTCTTATTTGACTGATTAGCCCAACTATTCTTCTCTTCATTATTCACGACAGTCAACCATTTACCCACAATTACGATTATTTAAATATATATTTTTATAACTGTGCCAAAATTCTGTCAATTACAGACACTCGCAGATAGCCTTAGCATCCCATTTACAAGTATTTTTTCCTTACAGGTTTTTCGATTGTTAGCGATTCCCAGGGACCGTCAGACTTTTCAGCGCAACTTGGTTTTTCAGAAGATTCTAATTCCCAGAGTAGTGAACCTGTTGCCAAACGCTTGAAACAGGAATAATGTTGATTTTATTTAAGTTCAAACTAAAGTGACAACTAGTCAGTAATGTTTGATTGTATACAGTTTATATATGTAAATGAACCTATATATATATATATTTAAAATAGATAGAGAATGTATGTACATATTATTATTTTATCATTTTTATCTTTGTAAAAACTTTTAAATAAGACTGTTTATATTTATTTATATTCCTTTATGTAAATATTTGGCCAAAACAATTGAATTTTATAAATGTGGTACTAATAAATTTGATATATTTTTTTTTTTAACTTAGAGAACTGGTCTCCAAATGGTGTCTTTTTCTATATTTGTCCATTCAATTATTGAACTTTAATTAATTTTTTTAAATAAATTAATTTTATTGTTCATTAATTCAAAAATGTAGATAGGCATTGGCACTTAATTTTTTATACTTGTATAGTTAACAATTTATAACTAGTTCTATCGAATGTTAAGTAGTTGTTTAAAATAAACAGGTGATATTGGAACTGTTTTTTTATTTTAAAAAACTAGCTATTATTTTAGTTTATAAAGTATGATAAGAATTATGATGTCCATTCAATTATGGTTTTTTAATCAGTTGTTAATGTATATTTTATTGAATTAGCACATTATCTTGCATAAGATCAATTGATTTTTCATAAACTATTATTGCTTTAATATTTCTTGAACTTCTTAGGACCATGAAATTAATGATTTTGCTTCTTTTATTCAAATTCACAATGAAAATACATATTTTAATGTGAATGGTAAAAAAAGGTGCCATCCATTCCTTTGTTTTATGAATTTCTGATAAATTAAGATGATTTACATGCAACATAACTATTACTATCTCTTTTTAATTGTAAATATTTTTACATTTTATTTATATATTTTACTGAAGACAGTTATTGGTCTATTCAAACTTAAAAGTAAAGCAAAATAATATAAAAACTATGTGATTTTTTTATTTAGTATATTCCTGAATTAAAGTATAAGAATGTAATTTATGAATTTTGTTCAAATAAACACAAGTTTCAACATACTTTTTTATTTGTGACATCTATCAATTTACTCAAATAACTACATATACATTTTTTGTTAATATCTGTATGCAGTTGACATTTCATTGATGAAATTTAATAAATCAATCAGTCACTGGTATATTATCACTAACCTTTATGGCAAATGCACTAGTTTGCTCACCAAGTCTCTTAATAACTGCAAATGTACCAGAAAACTCTCCTTATTACTGCTCAGTGAGAGCGAGTACACCAGTGTGCTCAATATATATCACTATTATCTACATCGTCACTACCATCATATAGAAAAACCTTTCTCACATTTCTATAGGAGGATTTGAGAGCAAGAAGGTGTCGGTCTTGGTGATAATAATAGAAATTATTCTTTAAGATATAATTTAATTTTCAAGTTATACATTCTAATAAAGTAAAATATTTGATTTTTTGACTCATACTTCATACCTTTAAATAAATAACAACAACCCTTTTTTGTGTAAATTATATTTGTCACATTGGTCATCTTCTTTTAGGCTATACAGAATTTTCCCAGGCCAGGGGCTGAGGATGGGGGATTAATGCCAGATTTAAAAGTCTCACCTGGAACTGGGACGCGAACTCGTAATTATTTTATCACAAATTATCTGAGATCAAGTTGCTGGGCAACAGTGGATTACGCCCCAGCGCTAGCCCGCTTGACCACCCCACCCTTATATATTGTGATTTTATTAATTGGAGATTTAAATTAAATAATATGAAAGTCATGATTCGTTAAAGGTTATTGCAGAGGATAATCCAACTCCCCTCCCCCCCCCCACTCTCTTCTCTCGAGGTCTAGTTATCTTTTGCTGCCGGAGCTTCATCCTGTTACAGAATGCTCTCTTGTCAGTCAGGCCAGTATGCCCAATTTCGAAGACAAGTTATTGAAAGCAGTTGTTATAATTCAGTGAATATATCAGTTATTTCAAACTCAATTATTCAAAATGAAAGTTCAAGATTTGTGCCGTCTCAACCATATATGGTCAACTCAACTGTCAAAATGGAACCAACCCTAATGGAACAATTTATGATTGACTCACACAGCACTAGGCATATGCGGATGATGTGCTCATAATGGCAATTATCAAGAAGCACTGCAGCGCTAGGAGGAGCTTTAGAGGAGTTTGAAAGGGTGCAGAAGTGGGCCTTCATGTAAATGAAGGAAAAACAAAATATTTAAAAACTTCCAGGCACCAACAACTAGAATACCATGATCTGCAGATTGGTGATCACAGTTTTAGAAGTTTAAGTACCTGGGTGCAGTGTTTACACATGAAAACAGCACGAAAGAAGAAGTGAATGCCAGGCTGGCTGTAGGTAACAAGTACTTTTATGCCATACAAAGAATATTAAAGTTTAAAGCTCTTAGCGAAAAAAGCAAAACTTATGATTTATGAAACCATACTGAGATCAATAGTTAAATATGGTAGTGAATCATGGGTTTTGACCAGTGAAAGTGAAAGGAAGCTCAATGTCTGGGAAAGAAAAATACTCCTTAGGATATATGGGCCAATAAAAGAAGTGGCACGTGACGTTTATAAAACAATTATGAGCTCCGTGTAATGTATGGCAAACCTGGCCTGGTATCATTCGTGGAAAAATCCTGCCTGAGATGGCTCGGACATGTGGAAAAGATGTCAGAAAATAGAATTCCAAGACGCCTCCTATATGGAAAAATGGGAGGGAAGCGATACAGAGGAAAGCCAAGAATGCGATGATTGGATGACATTGAAGAGGACTGCGAGTTGCTCGGAGTAAGAAGATGGAGGACGCGAGCGAGACAGGAATGACTGGCTTGGGGTCCTTGAGGAGGCCCAGGTACTAGTAGGACCATAGCGCCCAGCAGCAAGTAAGTAAACGTTATAGTATAATTACTTTTGTTTATAGTAGAACTATCTATGTATTTTTATTTATATTGTTTACTAGTTGAATTAATCCATTTTGTTACAAATCTTAGTCATTTATACTGACAGAGGTGTTGAAGTAAAATGACAAGTTAGTTTTTTTTTAAATGGATCTTTGCATAGCCCAGCTTTATTTCTCTCTCCCTACCTAGCCATTTCTGGCATATGGGGACATGATGCATCACCAGCTTTACTTTTATATCCTTCATATTATTATTTAATTAAATCAATAAATGTATTCATTTTTTATTTTTAACAAATCAAGAGATAAAAATATATATTATAATAGAATCACTCAGGAGTGATAGTTATTTACTTTATGTTAAGGGTTCTGATGATATTATATTACAAATATTAAATGTTGCCTCTTCAAGTTCTTTCCAACGATTCTTCCTTATGGAACTCATTGTAGAAGCATTTTCAGCATATTTCAGGCATAACTTGAAAAATCTATTTAGATAAAAATTAAAAATAATAAATAAATATATTTATATTTCATACAATTATTAAGTTATAAATCAATTACCTCTGATTTTTTTTTACAACACTAGCTTCACTTTTTTGGAATTTCTGTAATGTAATGAACATTGCATGAAATACACAACCGATGCCACATTGCAGGTTGGGAATACACTGTAGCATCCTTTTATAGCTCTCTCTATTTCTCGATTTCATTTGTTTGTTTTTCCAAAGAACAAGTTTACTATGACAGCTTTCATTCATATTTGAATTTAATTCTTCAAGAGAAAAAACAATTCTCTTAAGTATTAAAATCAATTCCATTTCATGTTTAGGTCTAGAAAATATAACTTTCCTCAAGCTTCAGACATAAGTTATAAACTTTGCAATATAATATATACCATGCAAGCAAGCGTTTTTTAATTTATCGACTTGGTATTTCCACAAAACTAATTGAAAATAAAGTTTAAACAAACACTAATTTTCATTTTTTATTATTATTATTTTTTTTTTGTTAATAGAAGTATAAATTTAATAACATAATAAGATGTTAGAAAGCAGCATTCAAGCTTGCTTCTGAATACTGGAACTAAGACTATTCTGTACAAGACACTCATCCGTCCAATCATTACATAAAGGCCCATAATCTAAACTCTGACAATATCAGAAAAAAATTGAAATATTTGAAAGGAAAGCATTCCATATATGTTAATCTTTGGGTTCATCAACTTAATTGAATCAACAACAGAAGAAAGAAGATAGAGCAGAAGAACTGCTAGATGTGTGCACATCCTTGCTCATGTTAACTAGTAGTAGTGTGTTATTAAGCATTCATGCCTAATAAAATACTATTGCAAACACCTGTATTGCAATAGTGGCATGGGAGCATGGAATATATAAGTAAATAAATAAAATAATTCCCTAAATTTAATTTGACAATATTATATTAAAATACAATAAAAGTGTGATGGAATAATTGTATATTTTATATTATTTTCTTTCATGGATACATCTTAGTTACTTAAAATGATGGATTCAGAATGATAAGACTCAGAAATGGATATTCTCTGAATAACATTATTGTAATGGAACCTGAGCATTGTAATAGAAAGGATTGAAAAAAAAACAAAAAACCTGAATTTACAAAATAATTAACTGAAAGGACCAAATGATCCTTGATTATATTGCCTTTGTAGTGAGGAATATTGGGAACAATTAAAATATTAAACAGGTATAACAATTACAAGTTAGTAGAGCCCTGTCACAAGAGAAATAAATCACTTCTTCTAATGGACTGGAGTACCATTAGGCATGTGACAGGATTGTACACTGGTCACTGTCAATTAAATAAACACCCTTTTAATTTGGGTGTAAGTGAAACCTCCAACTGCTGTGTGGCCTGGAGGATGAAACGTCCTATCACATTATCTGCAGATATGATAATTTGGCTAGACTGCGATATTTTCACTTTGGATGTGATCGTATCACTGAACCTAAGCGCTGCGAACTAATATATCCTATTAATATTAACAGGTTCTCTAAGGCATCTATTCTGTTTTAATTACAACCAACAAAAAATGAAAAGGACTACAATAATACAAAATTCGAATTCAACAGATAGAGAATGATTCGGAGGGATGGGGAGGGAGGAGGGATAATGCGTGTGTACAGCACCATGCATTGCCCGGCAACCTGATAACCGAAGTTGGAAGTGGAAAAATAATTACCAGTTCAAATTCCGGTGCCCGGTGGGACTCGGCATTATTTCCCAGGTTCAGAAAAAAACGCGTGTGGCCTAAAAGGCTAAAAAAAATAAAGGATAGAGAATGACTCATTGAAGTTATATACATTTCCTATCGTATATTAACAAGATAACGAGCATCAAATTATATCTTGGATCAAATTGCTGAGCAACAATGGGGAGAATCTTACTTAACTAAAATTTAAGAATTTAATAAAAAAAAAAAACATAGCAGTACCTGTGGATGGTTTCTGGTTCCAAATCATTAATCATTTTAATTAGGTCATTAGAGTAGTTTACAAAATCAAAATGTCCAGTTATTTTATTCAAAAAATCCACAGCTTTATTATTAGCATGGAAGTCAGCAACGTTATCCATTTCAGATGGTCTTGGAAGTTCATCCCACAATTTAACACTGATAATTATATTAATAAAAGAACGTTTAAATATGTTGATTGGATGAAATTGAGGCTTATATTTTAAAGACAAATCAATCAGCGAAGAGCTGTATTCTGAATTAATCATTCTCTCTACTACAATCAGCTCTTTTCTAGCCTAAAAATAAATGCATAATTTATGTATTATTATATTTTTTAAATAAAAGTAATGATTACTTTCCAAAATCTAACACTAGAATTGATGAATGAAAAACTTTAAAATCGGATGATATCAGTCATCAAACACCACCCCAAAATAATAAACTTCCAGCAACCTCAAACACCCTTTAAACAATTTTTATTTTAAATTTTGTCTCTTGTATTTTTACATTGCATTATATGGAATATAAAATCACAGTAAATAATGGCTACAATTTCTAACAGTAACTCTATTTCTAGAAGCTAAAGAACAGTACAACTGGTGAAAGCCACTATAGTGAAACAGATTTAAAAGCATTCTATTCTCTTATAATGATCTTCGATACAATGTCGTATTCCATTATTTTGGGGGGAAAAGAGAAATAAATAATTATATGAATTTAGAAAAATATACAATAATATATAAAAAAATAAAAATACAATAATTATACAACATTATGTAACAAAATTTAATTACATTTATTGAAATTAACATAAGTAGAATACTTATATCAAACACACATCTGGCAATATCCTCAGGAATATCATATGGTTTTATTTCAGAGTGACTTATTCTATCTCTTAAGCGTGGTCCTTCCTCATATATATATAAATCTAGTAACATTTCTAACATTTTAGGTCCTAAAGTATGTTCTAGTTTGTTTTCTAAAACAATAACATGGGAATTAAGTTATGCAGTACAATCTAGCACAGCCTTAATTCTTTAATTCACCTGCTGATCCAACTGTTGGGGCCAGTATATCATCAATGGTTACATAAAAAGCAGTAGATTCCGCCGTTAAAACTCTTTCAGAACAATTATTAGCAAAACAAAAAATTGATCGTAAAAAAAATTCTTTCAAAGGCATCAGAAGTATCAGACTATCTCCAAAACTAAAATAAAATTATGAAAATGAAACATGTAAAATACTTATTATAATAACAAATAGATTTTAAAGCTTACCAGCCCTGAATATACAAATCAGAAGCATATTCCCAGTATAACCAATGGTTTCTTGATATAAATGGACAGATCTTAACAGTGTTCATAAATTTTGTTTTATCAAAATCAATTGTTCCAAGAAATTGAATTAAGCATTGAGAATAAGTCTTTAAAGTATCATATTTAATAGTGGGTCTCCTTTCAAAACTCTGAAAATTAAATGAATACATGAATGAAACAAAAGTGATTCAGAAATATTTCAATATCAGGAAATTATAGGGCAATTTTAAGAAGATAGAGTAACTGTTATTTTCATAAGAATCATAGTTTACAATTAAAAGTTGGTCATTAATGGTTCATATTGGACTAATTTTAGATTAATAAAATCATCAACACAAACCTTAAGTAGAGATATTTCATACAAAAACTTGGAAATAAAGCAAGATACTAAGACAATATTTAATATAATAATGATCAAGAATAGTTTAAAATATTGTGCAACAAAAAGAAATAATAAATTTTAAAAACAAGATAAGGCAATATTTAATCATCAAAAATAATTTATAAAAAGAACAGTAGTTTTGATAGATTTGAGCTGTTTCTCAACAGACTAATCTGTATTTTCTTATATTACTATCTAATTTTCACCTTTAGTGACATTCCTAATGAAGCGATGACAATAAACAGCGTTGAAATAATGCTCTGATGGAGTTCACCAGGAGAAAAGAATCCATGCCAAGCTATATTACGCAGATTTAATCCTCTAACAGTTCCAATTAACAACTGAAGAAATTTCATCTAGAAAATATCCTATAAACTGTTAAAATTATTTAATTTAAGTAGCCCATATTTTACAAATCTTGGTAGGTATGAATTATTTATTTTAATATGTTAACTCTATCTATTTACCAAAGATCAATCATATGACAAATATCTATAGAAAACTTCCTTACCGGCGTTTTACCAAATACTTCAGTCAGGATATTAGATGCTAGCATGTCCTTCAAAAGAAATGGAACATGTTCACAGGTTGTCTTATAAACCTGCATAAGTAATTCAATTAATAGAATCTGTTATTTCTAGTGTATAGTTATATAGTTCAAATTCAATTATTAATGTATAATTACTTACATCCCCTAATGCTCTATCTAAATAAGAAGTCAATTTTAGGAGACAGAAGAGAAGTTCACTATCTCGAGTTGTTGTCAATTTATCATAAATATCTTTAAACTCGTCAAAATTGAAAACCCAAGATGACAATTCAAACATTTTTTTCTTTTCTAAATCTGAACTCTTTCTAAAATTTTTATCAACTGATAGCATGATTCCCCATAAAATTGTTATTTTGTCTCTGTACCATTCCCAAGAGTTTTCAAGAATGTCATCACATTCTGTAAATATGTCAATTTCATGAATTAGTTTAAATTATCAGAATACTTATAAGCAACAATTTACATATTATATTTAATAACAATACATTGAGTGTTGACAAAAAGTTCTTGCACTCAGTTTTATAAAATTAGTTGAGACATAAATAAAAATTACATTCAAATGCACACGATTAATATGAAAATATGTATAAAACCTCTTAGCTTAATTGGATTTAAATTAAATATTGAATATATCCATAGTAGAATGTTTTTAAAGAAACCATAGTTAATTAAAAGTATATATTTCTGTGTATAAATATGAATTTTTGTCAAGAAATTGTATTGTTTTTAATTTTTATTAACTTAAAAGCTAAGAGGTTTTAGAATTTTTCATACATGAATTATTTTGAGTTTTAAGTATTTTTTTATTATTTTAATGGAATTTACAACTGTATTACATAGAAAATACAATAAGTAAATGTGAAATTGGTAACATGACATGTACAACATGAAGAGAAACTACCCATTGGTAGAACTGAAATTAAAGTTCTATATTAGAAGATCCCGAGGCCATCTTCTTTTCAGACGCCTCGGAGGGTTATCAGGGATCGAGGAGGAAGCAAGGTTTGAAACGAGAGGATTCGGATGGTTCTGCAGTTTGTTATGGAAGGACAGGTATCTGGATTGGGCCAAATCGGAAACATGTGGAACATTAAGGTCTTTATGGATGATTTTATTTGTGACAAAGTAAGGAGCGTTGAGTATTTTACGAAGGATTTTGGATTGTAAGGATTGGATACGAGAGGAATTTGATGGTTTAGTGGAGCCTCAAAGCTCAATTCCATAAGTCTAAATAGGTCTTATTATTGTGATATATATACGAGTCATTTATAATTGATTGAAAGCTTAGATCGTTTATCTAGTAAGTGCTGCAGTAGTCGAAAACGTCGGGCGGTTTCTAGTCGTTTCAGTCTGGTATGGGGGTTCCAAGTGAGTCGTTTGTCAAGGTGGAGTCCTAAGTATCAGATTTCTTCGACAGGGATAAGAGGGAGTTTTAAGTATACAATTAATTATGTTATTATTTATTTTTGTATTTGTTCTATACAATTCAGACTGTGGATAATTTTATAAAATTGTTAATTCACAACTAGTTCCCAATCCTTGACGAGGAATGTATGAAACTTACATGAAGATCTCAATAAGAAGCAATTAAACCATTAAATTAATAATTGAAAATCTTTATAAATCAGATTTTACATATCCTCGTAATGTTTTCATGATTAATTATAATTGTTTGGAAGTTATAATTTAAATTTCCATTTGCTTACCAGAAATATTCTTTAACTCATTTTCTACAGCATTCCAATCAAAAACCAAATTTTTATCAACAACTTCAGTGCTGCAAGAAGATGCAGCTAACCTTAAGTTAATGATAACTTCATACACATTATCGGAGAAATAAGTATGGCAAGAATAATCCATGTTACATTCAAATATTTAATGCTCAGCATAACCCTGAGAAAATAATAATAAAATAAATATTAATTTAGGACATGAACATTTAATTTATGAAGATTTGTCCTGTATTAATTATTCATGGAGAACCCTATTATTAACTCTCCAAAACAATAATTTTCAAGTATTTCTATGAATATCATATCACAAAAAGTGTGAATTATGCATTATTTTTTTTTAGCAGTACAGTGCTTGGCTCGATAAAAAAATACTGGATTCATGTAGAAAATAAAATTAACTCTATCAAACCAAAACTAAGTAGAACAATCCTTCTATTTGATCAAATTTAATGGTTCAAAAATGTACGCTATCAATTGCTCTGGGTAATTAATTAAGTCAACTTTGTCAATCAAGGACTGATTGCTGACCTTAATATTTATTTTTTCTGCAATTTACAGTTGAAAAAAAAAATTGAAATCTATACTTCATGATAGATATTGAAATTTTATAGTTCAATTTAATATAAAAAGTAAATTTCAAATTATGCACAAAATTTAGTTCTCACATTTTCTTAAATATGATTATGCTGCAAAAACAATAAATTCTTATATTTTTAATTTATCATTTTACTAAAGTATTGTTTATATGAATCATGAATTATACTATTTTTTTCCCCACTTACTAAACAGACCATAATATAATTTATTTCTGGATTTACTACATAATTTTTTAGCAGGCCCAATAGCTCAGACACCATCACATTCTGCTTAAACACGAAAATGTGCACATGAATAATAATCTAGATCCACTTCAAAGCTTATTTAATCATTTTCTAATTCTGCTATCTATATGTAAGTATGGGTGCTCTGAGAAATATGTGAGACCTGAATGCTTGTGAAAGCCAACAGTCTGATAACATCACTTTCTCGTATATGAGATTGTATAGTGGAGAAGTCCATTTCTGGGCATTAAAAGTTGATTGTCATATTTTATGTAAATAATTAAGCCAAATGTAGTATAATAATACCACAATGTAAAATAACAAGATTATACCCGAAATGTTCAAATTTCGGAATTTAATTAAAATTATTACCCGAAATTAAAACCCCTTAGCCCCTTGGATTAAAACAAAACAAATAATGATAGAAGTATACTTCCCTTTCTAATTAATTCCTCACAATAAGTTAAAATTTACTAAACATTTAAATACATTAAACCAATTTACAATTACCATTATAAATAAAACTAATTTAGTAAATCTTGCAGATCTCAGAAATTGTATAGATTGTAAATTAACAGTAATTTTGTAACAGATTGTAATTGTAATTTTGAGAACAGATTTTAAACCATAATGATTTATCTCAAAAGAAAGCCAAATATATAGTTACCAAAATAATGTTGCTTTAAAAAGTAAATTATATTCTGAGTCAACTATCAAAGCTGACATGGGATATTTTACATTTGGGAAAACTCAATGTATTTAAAAAAAAATAAGAATCAAAATTTAACTAAAATAAAAACATGTTTAAGAATTTATTATGGAATATAGGAGTGTCACTCAGAAAATAATAGAATGATTAGAATTCTTATACTCAATTTAAATCAAAATATTTTATTCAAAAGTGAAAAAAAAAGCATTTGATCCGCATTCAGTAGCCGATCGCTAATGCATGCTCAAAAGCTCTGAGCTAAGAATTTGAATGGTATTTTAATATTCAATATATAAGTAGAAGATGTAGATCCATCAATTTTTTATCAAAATAATAATTTAATCATTTTATATTCAGTATTAAGGGTCAATTGCTTTGTTGCTTCTTTATAATTCTTTGAAACTCTGTAAGAGGAGGTAGTCGGTAACTTTTCTATTGAATTGACTGCTAATTCATTCATCACCAGTTTAAATATTTTATATCAGGCGTGTTTTAAATTAAAGTAAGAATAATATGTCTTGATACTGTTAACTAATAATGTTGAACTCGTATTTAATACCATTTTACATCAGATCTATCATGCCTTGTCAGTGTAGTTTAGCAATAAAAATAAAGAATCGTAACATTGCTCCAAAATCACAATAAGCTAAGGCTAATTTTGTGAAAAGTAATTTTTAATACATCCAGTTACTGGAAACGGAGATAAGAAATGACCGCACCAATACAGAATTGCTCGATAATGAAACGAAGTTTATTTTACGAAGGAAAACACACCTCTGCTATTTCCACTACTATTTTTGTACCGCTATTTTGAACCCTCTAGCCTTGCTAAATCGTCCCTTTTCTTCTAGCATTTCTAGAAATATTTACATGATTTCGATACTGGAATGCAGGTTACCGGGCAAAATATTTACATTGCCTTTTACATTTAAAATCCGGTCACAGATAAAATATGTCCTCCCACGTGGGTTGTAACACATACTCACACAGTAACATATCTACCACAGTATTGTAGGGAAACAGAAACATTTTCTTTCTTACGTCGCCAACAAATAACCTTTCAGCCATCAGACCTAAAATCGTTTAAACCTGATTTCATCAGAAAATGTGACATTTTGGCAGAGAGGTGAGATACCCTGTTTCTTCATTCCTTATAACTCTTCGACTCCTTATTATTATTATTATTTTTATTTTCACTTGCCTATATATGTAATATATAATAAGGGAAAGTATAGCGGTCGTGACCATTTTCTAATCTGAGGAGAGAGAAACACTTTATTTTCATAAAATATAAAATATGAAGGATTGCTGCCCAATTATATTGGGTTGCTACATACACAGCATACTCTTCTATCCTTAGGACAATATATGAACTTATATATAAATATACAGAAGTATTAGTTATTATTAGTAAAATAAATAAATATATATATATATATATATATATATATATATATATATATATATATATATACATTTTTATTTATTTTTTTCCCTTTTTTCCCTTTTTCTTTCCTTTCATTGTTCATGCTTTTTTTTTTAACACTTAGTTTCCCTTTCTCTCACTTCTCACTCTTTATCTCTATTGTTTTCAATTATTAATTAAATAAATAAATAAATACATAAATTAAAACTCTCGGGCTAGCCATGCACGTGGTGGTGAATGATTCCCAGGGAGTCGAGGACTATATTTTCAGCCAACCTCGCTACGTCCTAAATTTCGACATCTAGTTCCTCGAGGAAGCTCCTTGTTCTTTTTGGGATAGTTCCGCGAGACCCAAACCAGAGGCCTCTCACGGTGAACTCTCTCTCTCCGAAGGTCTCACGGAATTTATCTTTTATGAAAGGGATACATAAATCGTACGTGTTCTTCTTTTCTCTTTCCACTTCACCCGCCTGATCGAGGTCATTGTTCTCAAAGCGGACAGTTGGATGCAAGATCAGCGCTGTCCTTCCTGTCTTGGGAAATGCGACGATATCCGCGTATCTCGTAGAGCCTTCACTATCGATGCAATATACCTCGTCAAAGCAGGTGAATTTCCTTTCCCTAAGGAGCCTCATCAACTCGAACTTGACCCGGTGGTGACGACGTGTTATGAGGAGGGAGTTGTTGGGGCATTTTCCCAGCACATGGGCTGGTGTTTCAGACTCTCTGCCGCATTTACGGCAGAGGGACCCAACTTCTCCGACCTGTCCGCTGACTCCTGGGACTCCACGCAGGAGTGCATAATTAATGTTTAGTTTTAGGGCATTCGACCATTCAGACCCAGAAATTACTTGCTTTTCGTAGATGTATCTATTCGCTTTCGGGGTCTCTTTAAAATGGCGAACACCAATACCCTGCCACCTGCAGTTGGCCCATTCCTCAAATGCATTTTCTCGTAGCGACTGCCGTAGAGCTTTCACATTTCGATGACCCTGATCAACTCCAAATCTCTCGGCACATTCAGTAATTTCAGCCGAATAATCGAAGGTAGACTGAAAAAGGGCATCTGGTACATTGGACAGTCGCTGAGCAATGGACCAATGTTGAAGAGGAGCCTCCCATTGGCAGCGGATAGCAATGGGATGTGTGTGTGTGTGAACAGCCTAACTCAAAATCGTAATAAACATCACTAATACAGGAATTTCTTCATGCTCTATTACTTTTTTATACTATCTCCATCTTCTTTCATTAATACTTCAAAAATATTTATGTTATCTTTCACCCTTTCCTTTATTTTACAATTTCTTCCTCAAACCCCCTCGGTAAATCTCGTTCGGAATATCATACTTCCCTGCGTTCGGCTAAGAATCCGATACAAGCACCAGTATATAATGTTCCCCAAAATCGGTCTTGGTTTTGCACTTTGCAAGACCAAGACTACGACCGCCAAACTGTTGCAAAACCAAGACAAGACTGCTGAAGAAAAATCGATTTTTGAATAAAAATAGTTACTAATACTTGACAATTTTAGCTACGATATGTAAAGAATTAGGCAATATACTTTTGCATTTAACTCTTTTAATTTTTCATTCGGGCTTAGTTAGGTTTATCCTATCTAAAAAATGACTATAATATCTCTATAGCAATAAGCTAATAGGTAACTGAAAGACTCTTGTGCAAGACCAAGACCAAGAGGAAGACTGAGTGCGCTAGACCAAGACTCGTCTTGGTCTCTCATTTGGGCAACACTACCAATACAGCATTATACTTGGAACTGGTTCATTAAAATCATTACCTTTCTGTGTATATTACTACTCAAGAAGAGGAAATGCATTTTTAATTTTGGATTTTTTTGTAATTAACTTCAATATCTGTAATACTTTTGCTTTAGAATTAAAGAAAAAAACTTCCGTATTCTTTTATTTTCAAAACCTGCACGTAAAACAGCAATAAAATCATTAAATATTCATACAAAAATCTCTTTTTTTATTTATTTGTTTAGAAATATAATAATCTGTCATGAGGACAATAACTATAGTGATATATGAACACATTCACACCATATATACAGAAAATATAAAATTGACAAAAGGAAAATAATAACTAAATAATAATCAAAAACAATTTGTTTTATAAACTGTGTACTAAAAAAATAAAATAACCTAAAAGTA